AGACTGAAAGTGAAAAGATAGAAAACAATTCTCCATGTGACAGGAGCCCAGAAAAAAACAGGGGTAGCAATCTTATTTGCAGACAAAGTAAATTTCAAACCAAAACTGAATCTAGTACTATTGATGTAGGACAGTACTGTATCGTACCTCAATGAATGTAAAATATCTAGTACCTGCTTTATGATACATAGTAGGGACCGTGCTTTATCAGAGCTACATTTAATGATATTACTCTAGAATGTTCTCTTTGCAGATGATGATTACGAGGCTAATAGAAAAAATGGTGCCAGGTACCACAACAGCAACAGAACTTTGCTCTTGTCTGGATATTATTCTTTTCTTTGTTTTGTTTTTTTTTTAATGGAATGTGCTGAATGTCTATAATTTTGTTTAGATGACTGCTGAACCTGGAAAAGCTGTTGATGCTATCAATGCAAAAAATACTATTATTAGTCTTTATATATATATATACACACACACACACACACACACACACACACACATATATAAATTGAATTTTGGGAAATTTTAACAGTGCTGCCAACTTTGGAAAAAGTCATCCCAATTTACTGTGTTGACTTGGCATTGTACAGAAATGGATAACCATATTGGTCTAGAAATGTTAATTTATTTTTATTTTTTTCCATGTGTACAGGGGTAACACATCGTACTAAATATGTAAGGTCATATTTACGTGGGTTTGATTACAGAAACAATAAAGTATTCTCTAAATAATGAAAAAAAGAATAAGATAAGACTATAAGAGCGAGAAGCAATTTAAATATGTTCAGGGACCATTTTCATCTCCAGAATTCAGTTAGACTTTTTAATGGTTCAGAGGACAGACAAAATTATAATTTACTTTCATATTTATGTACATGTTTATTTTTAAATAAATGTTCATTACACAAGATACAGCGAGCTTTTCTTTGTGGTCCAGGTTATTCTGAGCCACACTGCAAAAAGTCAAACTGCTTGAAGAAGTAATTGCTTTTCTTTGACTTGGTGAGCCACTTTGCACTTTTAAAATAAAAGCAACAAACATTGCAGCTCTAATCCGCTTCCTGTCCATGTAGATTTTCAGCATTTTTAAAAATGGAAAATGGCTGAAAACAATCAAATGTCGAATCAACAGGTACTAGTTAAATATATCTATACAAAGGAATGCAGTGCACCAGAGACAGAATAAGGAAGCTTTGTGTGACAAATAGTATGAAATGGTCTTTGAGATGAATTGTGTGAAAGGTACAAGGCACAGAAGAGTACATGTAGTGTGCTGCTATAGGAAAATAGCATACACGTGTATGGTCTTTTCTGGAGAATACAGTTAAAGGAAACATGCTCTTTACAGTTATCGTTTGAATTTGTATATTATGTAGTCAAATAAAAAGCTTAAACTAATTTTAGTATATAAATATATATTTTAGGGGAAAATCCTCCAAAAACAGGGAAAGAAGTGCCTCCTGGAAGTGCAGAGAACTGAACTACTCTCATTCATGAGTAGCTTTTTACAGTTACTTGATTTTATCTGTACATGTGCCATTTTGGTAAAGTTTAGAAATAATTAAAAAATATATTAGAATTCTTTCCTCTATGTGAACTACCTGAGTTTCTGTTATAAACAGCATGTGTGAGAGCAATTGGAGGCAGGCTTTGTGAGAAAAAGCTTTATTCCTGCCCAGGTGTGAACAGAGACTGAAATCAGGAACAGATTTTAGCAGCTTTCTGGAAAGAGCTAAATTTATTTCATCCCTGTGTGGACGGGCTGACATGGGGGGAAGGGGATCAACAGCTAGCTGGGAGAGAAATTAAGTTTATAGAGGGCTTGGAATAGGGGCTATTGTTATAAGGAATGTTTATGACTGAGGATCCAAGGATGGTCAGTGCAGGTATACAGAGAATCACTGGACATCTTGGTGCTGGGGAGTTTCTATACTCTGTCTTAAATTTTCCTTATAGCTGCCTATCTTATTTATTGAGCATAGCCCGTTGTTTGTAGAGAATGGCCTGTTTGCTTGTGAAGGTCTCATTTAGGCCAGGCATAATAGTTTCTGGATGTTATTCCTCGGGTTCTTGATTGCCTCCCACTCTGCCTGCCCCCTCATTGTCAGCTCAGTCCTTGGCTCTCTGTGACGTTTTCCCACAATCCTGTGGCCTCCTATGCCCTTTATAGTCACCAGCCTGAGCCCAGCTTTCACACAGCTGAACCCCAGTCCTCAGTCTCCAGTTGTGATCTACTGAGCCCCAGAAATAATGAAGGAAGGCACCATAAAAACCACCATGTCTCATCCCTTGTGTCATTCTCTTTTTAGTGTTGTCCCTTTTTTTATCCAGTGTAGTGGAACAGAATCTATCTACACCTAGCAACTGCCAGGCTAGAAAAGTTAAAGCCATCATTAAGCTATTGGGAAACTTCTGAGCTCTTCAGGCCCTTATGAAATTTAGGTCTAGAATCAGGATAATATAAAAAAAGAGCTTCTGTTTACTTACAAATGCCATATATCTATATCTGCTAGAATCTCAGTTCCATTGAAGGCAGCAATTTTTGTCTCTTTTGTTCATTGATGTAGTACCTAGAATATTGCCTGGCACACAGTATGTGCTCAGTAAGCATATTTGTTGAATGAAGGCCTAGCCACATCAAGATACTTAAACTTGTTTTTCGCTCATCTTTAAAATTTGTTGTAATACTTAACCCATACAATGATGTGAAGATGAAAATTAATGTAAATATATTTGATATATAGAGAGAATTCAGTCTGTCTTTATTTTTTCCAATTCAGTGTTCCTCAAATCATTCCTACCCCTAAACCATGTCTGTCTCCTAATTCCTGTTATGATCACTCCCTTTCTTACATTCAGTGCCTGCTAATGCTGTTTTTATGAACAAAATATAATACTTTGTACATGTTTAAGAGTTTATGTTTAGTAGCTACTAGCAGGTCTTTTTGTGACCTTCCTACTTTATTCTTTGACTTTTTTAAAAGTTTTTTATTTATGCAAGAAGGAGTTTCTTTCATTAAAGACACTAAACTATGTTGTTTAAAAAATTTCTTGAGAGGGTCTCACTTTGTAGTTCAGGCTGTCCTTGAAGTTGCAGCAATTCTCCTGTCATAGCCTCTCCTGGGTGCTGGGTATGGATAAGAATTACTTAAGTAGAATATAGGAGTCACTAACCATTAAAGAAAATATTAATAATTGGATTTCATTAAAATTAAGAATTCCTATTTGATCTCTGGTGTCAAAAAAAATTTTTTAAGAATTCCTATCTGAATGTGGTGGTGCATGCCTGCATTTCCCAGCACTCTGAAGGCTAAGGTAGGAGGATTGCCATGAGTTTGAGACCAGCCTAAGCTCCAGAGTGAGTTCAAGACCAGCCTGGACTACATAGTGAGACCCTGTCTCAAAAAAATAGATAGATAAACAAGAAACTAGAGACATTTATAGCTAAATGGATGCATACTGAGGCCATACTCTTAAGTGAAATAAATAGAACACACATGTAAATACCAAATGGTTTCTCTGGTGTGAAAAACGAAAAGTGTAAATAAGTTCAAACTGTGTAATTGATAATGTGAAATAGGAAAAAGAAAGGGTTAAAGGAGTAGGGGAAGTGGGAAGAGTAGGGGAAAGGGAAAAAGAGGGAAAAATACAAGAAAAGGAAAAATACAAGAAAAGGAAACAAATGAATAGGAAAGGGTGGAGGGGGTGAAGGGAGGTCATGGGTACGGGGAAAAAATAACCAAGATACATCATGTAAAGGTACAAGATCCCAATGATGAATGTAACTGTACTGTAAACCTAAAAAGTACTAATAAACTTAATGAAAAATAGGTAAAGATGAGATAAAGAATTCCTTTTAAACAGACGCCACAACACATCTATAGTCTCACCTCATGAGGCCAAGGCATGAAGATTGCTTGAGCCCATGAGTTCCAGGCCAGCCTCTTTAAATCTTAAACAAAAGAAAAAAAAATTTTTTTAATTCAAAAAGTAGCTCTTAAAGTGAAAAAGGAAAGCTACAGACTAGGAGAAGATACTTGCAATGGAGAGGACACATACATAAGGTACTACTGCTGTTGACCCATTTTCTATTCTGGTTTACAGATGTAATTTCCATTGGGGGTGGAGCGGGGTGGTTTACCGGGAATTGAACTCTAGACCTTGCGCTTGCAAGGCAGGCATTAGAACCTCTGAGCTAAATCCCTAGCCCAAGTTTTGCATTTTCTAAATGGTTGCTTTTATTTATGATTTTTGGTTCTTGTCATTGTAAGTTTACACAAATATTCACCTGTTGTCATCTGGCACTTTTACATTTTTGCTTTTATATTTAAGTCTTTGGAGGGGAAATTGTGGTTTAAAAGTACTTTCCCGTTCACTCTTTCTGAGACAATGGAAGGTGTTTTAAAATGCAGGTTTTATTATTACTCAAATATGGTGAGGCACATCCATCTATAGATAGCCCACTCACTGGAAGATACATTCCCTAAAGCAAGACTCACTGCCATGGGGCTTTAGGGCTAGTGATTCCAGAAGCATCGGACACTGGAGCCAGAGCCTGTATTGGGTTTTTGTGGGAATGGAGGTAAAAAGTTGAAGAAGTTCAGGTAATCTCAGTGGTCTCTGGAGTACAGGGACTGTCTGTGTTGTCTTCTGCCTAGCCCTGGGAATGATTAGGGCAAAGGAGTAGTGCCGCCTAGGGCTGTGGGTGGAGTACAGCTTCCTATTAGTTTGCACAGGAAGGCGCCATCCTAGCTGAGGCTTGGTCTCTCTCAAAATTGGCCAGCCAGGTAAGGACGGACTCTCCCGAAGACAGCAAGGTTTCCAGAATACAGAAAATAAGGAAATGTGGTTACTGTTGAGAGGTGATTATTATTCCAGTTTTGCAGAGTTGGAAACAAAGATTAAAGAAGTTAGGTGTCCATTCAAGGTCATATATTTAATATAGGTCACATACATTAATATTGTACTTAGATCTGTTCATCCCAACATCGCAGTACTTTCCACTATCACTTGCCAATCATAGTCAACATGAAGCACAATTTTATTTCCAGAAAATACCTAATACAGGTCAGGAAGATTTTCATTAAAATGGCATTAGGTATTTGAATATTTAAAACCAGGTAGTTGGATTAGGGGCATAGCTCAGTGGCAGAGTGCTTGCTCATCATATGCAAGGCCCTAGGTTTTAATCTCACCATCATTCTAGCACCACAGAAAACTAATGAGAAAAACTCTACACATAAGTAAAATGGAATAGGGTGGAGGTTGCCACCATTTAACACTGCCTTTATTTGTACATAATAGTACCACCCTACCTTTGTGTGGTCTCAGCCCCAGGAATTGTGGCCTCTGTTGTCCCCCTTTGCTGAGTACCTTTTTCAGTTTGCAACCGACTAGCCATACTCAGTGGCCCTATTTAAATAAAAGGGATTCAGTGCCAGATGAATGAAGTGGAAATTATGTAATTTCATGTTTTCCATTAGAAAATTCAGCGGTGTTTGCATATAATGATCTCATTAAGGGTATTATTTAAGTTTTTAGTATACATCATAAGTAAGAAAAGACTAGTGAACTTTTATCTACCTTTTTCTTCATTCATCATATATTTAGAACTTTCTCTGCCACATGTGTTCTGGGGTCTTTTGTGTTATATGAGAGGTCTGTCTCCCTGTCCTTGTAGAGCTTAATTTTGAGAAAAGAGAAACACATAATAAAAATAGATCAGGGCAGAGGATTGGTTAACTGGGGGGGGGGGGGG